CCCCCCCCCCCGCTGCATCCAACGACATATGGGCCAAACGCGACATGATGTGGGCCTGGACTGGGTCATCAGCACGCCGGGGCTCCGGCTGGCGGTCACCCCCGGAAGCCGAGGCCCGAGCGTGACCCTGAGTCGGAAGCCCATCGCTCTCTCAACATCTGCGGAGGATTGCGTTGAAGCCACGTCACCTGCTGTTGAATCCACGCCACCTGCGGCAGCTCTCGCGGCCGCCGCAATAGCGCCCGCAACGACCTGAGACGGCGGCGGGAGAGACGCAACCCCTCCCGTCCCCAACGCCGACTCGGCCTGACCGCCAATAGTCCTCCACTGCGGATGACACCAAGGCGTTCCTATGTCTCCTGCGACTTGTGCTCGGATGACATGGTCCAAATTTTATGCAACCGAGAGCCAACAAGATTCAAACCTCCAGTTTCAGCCGATAGGTGGATGCCCCTACACGCCCGCGCCGCACGACCCGTACGATCCCCTGCTCGCGGGCACGCAGCCCACGCAAAGAAAGAGATCTCCTCCGAAATACTTCTTGGCTGCAGTAGCCCCCCTCGTGCTTCCTTGGGGCAGACCAACAGGTGCCCCCAAGTCTACTCTTCTAGTCAGGTATCAGGCACTTCACGCTGACTCCATGCTGCTGCTCTGTGATTGGCCAACAGATATTTCATCTTCCGCTCCTCACAAAACTCAGATTTCAACGCCTCTGTCTCTGCAATCTTCTGCTTTCCTTCTGAACGCTACATTTTTTGGCCAAAATGACCCACGGAACCCCCGAATCATACCACGGAACCCCATGATTATTCCACGGAAACCTAAACCATACCACGGAACCCCCAATGAAACCACGAAATCTTCTAACGTACCACGAAACCTCCTATCATACCAATCATACCAATCATACCACAGAAACTCTCAAGGCTTTCAAGCTCTGCACCAGTTGTGACTGCTTTGTGTTGACTGGTGTGCATATGATACGCAAATCCTTTGTACATTTGTGCAAACATTACACCCACATGCATATTGACATTTTAACACACACCGGTGGGAGCGACTGCAACCCAACACCAACGGTCAATAATCGCCGCTCCAGTCCTCGTCACGGGCATTATCGTCCTCGACAACATCCATGGGAGAAAATCGGATTGATGGCCAGAACCGACGAGTTCTACTTGTTGTATTGTGCTGCTGGTACTGCTGCCTGATCACTTGGCACGATGATTCCATCCGCCCTCCACGCCCTCTTTGTAGCTTTTTCTTGGGTCGCCCCATGTGCGGAGCTTGTGTGTGGCCGTGTGGCTACTTGTGCGCTGCGTTGTTGAGTGGTGCATGTTTGTGGGTGTGTGTGCGTGCGACAGCTGTTCGTCTCGCACAGCCGCAAGCACATCACATGACAGAATATCTCATGAAATTTATTTTTTTCTGAAAAATCCAAAAGATGAGCCATCCGCGGAATTTCGAGAGGAATCGTTTGCCGCACTCCTTTTTTAGTTCGTGAAGTTGGTTCTCGCTCAAGATCTTGAACAAATTGCCCTTCCAGAATCGGTTTATGGGGCATAACTTTGTCGTTTCTTGCTATTTTCAAAATTGGAAAGAATATTCATTTGGCAAATTCCAAGCGCTGTCGGAATCAGGTCTCAGATTTTTCCTCTGAAAAGTAGGCCCTCCGGCAGACCTTGAACAATGTTTTCTGGTTATTTCGAAATAAAAAGTCAAAATATACAAATCCAACGTTACATTTCTGCGCCTGGAGACAGGGCTTTTCACGGTGTTTTCGAAATTCGGAACAAAGTGGATTGGTAGCCCCAACCATTGGAGACGCGGAGGAACCCGTCTCGCGAAAAATGTATGGCCAAGGTCAGTACAGGGGGAGAGTTGAAAGCAACGAAAGGGTTTGGCTTGATTGTCACTGAGCGCTACGTCCATGTTGTACACCGAAAGATGTGTCGACGTGTGTCGAATGCATGTATTTACGTACCGGTATGAACTTGGCGCCAGAATGAGTGGGACGAACACAGCCGCATTGCAGCACCTCGGCAATCGATTCCACTTGACCGCGTTGGGGGGGTGGCAGGGCCACCCATCAAGGTTTGAGAAAAAAGTCGCACATGGTAAGGCTCAATCACGAGTGCGCCCAACGCTTGGTTGACAAATCCTAGCAAGTGTTTCCCGCTATGGGTGAGCATTCAGTGGTCATCGCGCGCTCCCCTCTGAAACCGCGGCTCATTCACGAATACAGTTCAATGCAGCCAAGAAAAATACCACGGATAGAAAAAAGGTCCAAACGGTCACGGAAATGAAGAACAAATCAACAAGCACAGCTCAGCCGAGGACCCTGCACATAAAATTACGTGTGGTAACCTCTACTCGACGATGGTGACGATGAAATATGGCTCTGAGCCTCCACCCGCAAATTGACGTGGTCTTGTTTCGTTCGCGAGAAGTAAGTTAATGAGGAAATCGGACAGGGAGAGGGGTACGCAGGCCCTATTCCCAAACCCTAACAACAACCCTAACCAACCTCCCAGATTGCATCCTTTACCCAGCATGTTTTCTTGATCGAAAAACCCAGGGAAATCTACTTTGTTTGACGCCCTTACTGCTGTACAGCGCCAGACATCGCAGTTCTCGTCGAACTGACAAGAGCAACCAATGGCCAAGGAACAGAACGAAGAGGAGAACGGGGGCTTCCTGAAGAGCGAGCCTTACAAGTGGCCGTTCGACGGCAGCTTCGGCGCGGACAATACCGCGGTCCTCGTCATCGACATGCAGGTCGACTTCTGCTCTCCCGGCGGATACGTCGACAAGATGGGGTGAGCGTTGGTGGCGGGTAGTGGTCAAGTATGTGGCGGCAGGATAGAGCCGGCGAGAAAGCTGGTGTTTACTTCGCTTTTATTCATGGCTCTCCCCCCGTGACGTCGCACGACTGGTACGAATGAATACAATTTTCGCTTTCCCTTAGGACATGATATCTAGGGAGGCATCATGCCGTGACGTACAAGGGAAGGCCGACACAAATGGAGTACCGCAGCGGGGTCAAGGCGCTACTGCTGTCCGTACCTGAATAGTCTGCCGCGCTTGCAGATGACCCGGGTATCGCGAGTAAAACGTGGGGGCCATCCAGTAGCACGCGCCGACGCCTACCGTGGGTGACGCAAGATACCACACCCCTCGGATCCATTTTTCACAGCTCGAAATATCCACAACAGAAACAGTAGCGATGCCGATTGAAATGGCGGTGTTGTACCGGTCGTCACAGTTCGGGAACTGTTCCGAAAACGTAATGCTTGATATTTGAATCCTCTTGATCGTGCAATAATCGACAATCGATCCAAGGGGCGTGGTGTGTTGCGTCACGTACGGTAATCTGAACCCAACTCCATCGCTCCGTCAGGTACGACATCTCGCTCACTCGGGGCCCGATAGAGCCCCTCCAGCGGGTGTTCGAGGCTGCCCGGAAGAATGGGTTTTCCCTGATACACACGAGAGAGGGGCACCGGCCCGATCTCGCCGACTGCCCGGCCAACAAGAGGTGGAGAAGCCGGCAGATCGGGGCCGGTATCGGGGACAGTGGCCCGCGCGGCAGGTGGGCTAGGGAAGCACAGTAGACGACGTGCCGAAACGAACCCTGCCCGTACACTCAGCCCTTCTGGAGGCCCGTGCCATTGTCCTCAGAATATGCGTTAGCATCCTCAGAATGGGCGACAACTGCTCATTTTCGGAAGCTGGCAGGCTGCAACTCCGCTGTTAGCGCGGACGATGCATTACTCAGATTAGCCGTGCTCGGAGTATGTCAGACTCTTTGTTCGATTTCGGCTAGACTACAGCAACAGACGTTCGCTTCGATTCGCTTAGCGGCGATCGTCGGATAATAAACCCCGAGTGAGCGAGGGGCGAGTCTGGGTGGGAAATCATCCGGAGCTGCCGTACCCGAGAAACTATTTTTTGGGATATGCGGCTGAACTAGTACTGCAATAGCAGATGTACTGTTTGTTCGCTTTGCGGTAATCTGTTTTGATAGGATCCGATAGTAGTGATAGGTAAAACCGGGTGGGAAACCATCCCGGAGCGTAGCTGTACCCGAGTAGAAACTCTCTCGGCAAATATTGTGATTCTTTGGCTTCGCGATCCTTTACCAGGATCCTGGTGAGGGGCGAGCCTGGGTGGGAAATCATTCCGGAGCTAGCTCCAGCGGCGGGGGAACTGGTGATCGACAAGCCCGGAAAGGGTGCTTTCGTTGCCACAGACCTTGACATGGTGAGCTTGTACAGCAACCGCTTACTCTAAATATGGCTTTGCAGCTAAGCCTTGGATGTCGCGCGGATTTAGTCGCCGTGGCTACACTGATAACATCCATGGGGAAGGGCGCGTTTCACATTATTAGCTTTCGGACGTCATGGTGGTTTCCATATCCCGGTCCTCGTTCTACGAAAGCACATTGGTGTAGAGAAGCGGGTTTGTGTGGCCAAATGTCGCGATGGTTTTGCTCAACCCCCTGGTTCCCTTTCCGTTATCTCCTTCCTCTTTTGTGCCCTCTATCCGTCGCTCGATCTCAAACACAAACTGTCGCCTACACCAACGACAAGGTTCTTCGGACGAGAGGCGTGCGGAACCTCGTCCTGACCGGAGTTACCACCGACGTTTGTGTGCACACCACGATGCGGAACGCCAATGACATGGGCTACGAGTGCGTTCTCCTTGAGGCGCGTGTGTGAGGAGTACACCGCGGTATCGGAAATGCGCGGAACGTGATTAAAAACGATCATATCTGTGCGTGTGAGGACCCTCGGTCACATAGGTGCCCGTGTGTACTCCAGAGTATTTTTCACGTTCTAGAAGACGGAAGAAGCCGAACTTGAGATTTCGTCCTGTTACACGCTTCCACGCAGTGAGTGACTTGCTATGTCAACTACATTGATCGAAGTTGAGGCCTGCTCCTGTGACAGGTTGTCGTATTCGATTGAGCGGATCACGTGGTACGTGATTCGCTCTATCGAATACGTAGATCGAACGAGATGTTGACATCTGAAAGGTGTTCGTGATTTTGCCACACGCGCCGTCTCAAAATCAGAATTGTCTTCGCCTGCAGTTACACAAATCGCCCCGCCGTTACTGGCGCCCACGATTGATTCCCCTCTGTCGCCCTCGGCCCCACCGATCGCTTGTACACACTCTGCGGATGAATCACCCCTTTCGATGAGAGCGAGCGCCCAAGACGGGTTTGACCACGCCGCGGCCGCCACTCCCCCTCATCTTTCGCCTCCCTCACCGCCCCCTCCCCGCCCCATCTTCTTGGATACACCGACACGCGACGCGTCGTAGGATTGCTGCGCTGCAACCGATCCCCTCAACCACGCTGCAGCGATTTCGATGATCAAGAAACAGGGCGGCGTGTTCGGCGCGGTGTCGACTTCGGCGGCCCTTGTCGCGGCCATGGATGCCAGCAGCGAAGCGAAGTAAAGCGTGCAATAGGCGTTGCCTATTTGTGAAAAGCACACACACACACGGCGGGTCGTCTCACTCCGGTACATGCGAATACTTGTACTCGCCAAAAACACGCTCCAAGTCTTGCGCGGTGACCTGGCCTTGCCGCGGTGACCCGGCCTTGTTGTATATTAATATTTCCGTCGGTCGTCGAAGCAACTATGAGCTTATTTTTTGTTGCGCTTTTTGACATGTTCCACCTGGTTCCCGTTTAGGAGCCTTGTGTAGACAGGTTCGGGAAGTTAGAAAGCAGTAGGCTGTTCGACAGACGCTGAGGATGGTACAGTCGGTCTGATCGTTGTCCACTCGGCGCGAGAAGCCAGCATATTTATTGTAGTTTTTGCCTCTTGGCGGATGTCTCTTGTGGAAAGCGCGGGCTGAAGTAGCACGGGCGTCACGCTGGCGCGGAGATGTTCCGTGGCGCGAACGACCAAACCGCCCTTGGAAATGATCAATTGATCCCTGCCTCTGTGTACTGTAGTCTCGATATTGTGCTGTAGCGCTTCTGATGATTGCTGATACTTCTTTGGCTACAACTCCTGGTTCCTATTGCTGAGCTATCAGTCCCTCGGGTGCTGGGTTTTGGATCCAAAAGTGCCGGATTCTCCACGGCGACGTTTCATGTACAGGTTGTTGCCAAGCATCATGTTGAGCTTAAGTGATTGATGTGATTGGATCTGGGAGTTTCTCGTGTAGGTTGCGTCTTGAAAGGAACAGATTCCAAACGAACGCTCGCCTTTTTTTGTAGCTGTGAACCACGACGACGATTCAAGAGTGAAAAAAGGATTCTGTATCCTGAATGCGCGCACAATTTGGTTAATCAATTTTCTCGGTATAATGCCAAACAAGGAATGCATGCCGTATCACGAAAATGCAAACGCCTTTCTACGACTGCTGTGTGTGTGTGTGTGTGTGTGTGTGTTTATTAGCATCGACCGCGCTAACCGGCTGACCAATGAAAAGACGTCAGTCTCAGTGCGGTTGGAAACACAAAACCCTTTTATCTGCCATGGACTGGTACCCCGTGAGGGGGCAGCATGGTGGAGGCTAAACTATCCTTCGGATCAAAGACAGAAACAGCAGCAACAGAAGAAAACTGCACGTGTCTACCAAGGCTACTACCTTGTACTCGAGTTCGTGTTGGAGTACTTTCACCATTATCCTCCTTGCGTTCGCTACCATCATTCTGATCCTCATTTTGACAAGAATCTCTGGGCAGTTCTTCCCTAGTCCTACGTTCATTCTTTTGAGGAAGGTCATCTGGCTCAAACCCTTTGCTCTCTTCCACTCCTCCATGTTTTCCACCTCCATCGTCGTCTTCGTCCGCCTTTCTTCCCTTTTTCTTTCCTTCGTCTCCGTCACTCCCAAAAGNCATTCTTTTGAGGAAGGTCATCTGGCTCAAACCCTTTGCTCTCTTCCACTCCTCCATGTTTTTCTGCTCCATCGTCGTCATCCTCCTTTCTCCCCTTTCCCTTTCCTTCGTCTTCGTCACTCCCAAAAGAATTACCCTCATTACTATCGTTGTCGCAGAGATCCCAACCGATTGGCCATGGTGGAAGTTGGTCGATCAGTAGCCCATGACGTTTAAACACATCGCGAGTTCGCATGGACAGAAAACGAGCTAGCTCGAAGGTAAACCGTCTCCGAATCCTGTTAGTATGAAAAGCTTTCAGGCGAACTAAGGCCCTCTCGTCGTCAAAATTTCCCCGGCAAAAAGCTTCGTGCGCCAAGTGGTTGGCGATAGCAACGATGAGTCGATTGGTGCCTTTGCCAAGACCACCATTCGTTGAAAAAGCAGCAGTAAGGAGGGTAGATCTAGACGGGTTGAAAGTTCCCGCATAGTGATTTGCCTTACTTGCAGCTCGATCTTCGAGGGCGGATCCTGGCTTTTGCATCGACTTGTCGATGCTTCGACCTCCGGATGGGTTGGCGATTGATACGTCTATAAGAATGAACTTGGTGCAGAGTTCCTCTTCCTTCTCTCCTGCGTGCAATCCTTGGGGGATCACCAAATCCATCTTGTATAGCCCCTTTCCCCTACCAGTGCCTGTGGTAAAAGGGGAAGAATCCTCAACGGCGATGGGCATATGGCACTCGCGCAGTGTCTTGAGGACCACTCGAACCATCCTGTTATGGAGGAAGGTTGAGGCGCCGGTCTTGGTGCAGACGAGGGAGTGGGCTCGGCTCAAGCGGTCCTTGCATGGTAACAATGCACCTGCACCACAAAGTTTGCCTGTGTTGCAGTCTGCTCGATCGTGACTCCCCAGTACACGACCGATTGACTCTCGANTCCTCAACGGCGATGGGCATATGGCACTCGCGCAGTGTCTTAAGGATTACGCGTACTATCCTGTTATGGAGGAAGGTCGAGGCGCCGGTCTTGGTACAGACGAGGGAGTGGGCTCGGCTCAAGCGGTCTTTGCATAGTAACAATGTACCTGCACCGCAAATTTTGCCTCTGCTCGATCGTGACTCCCCAGTACACGACCGATTGACTCTCGACATAGATCAGGCAGCATTCTTTCATCTGCTGACAACCCTTGCGTTGTCAACCACGACAAAACTCCCTTGCCTTTCGCTTCCTCCAAGCGGATCAATGTTCTCTTCTTTGACATTTCCTTGACTGCTACCTTCTGCAAGTCTGTCTCCACCATGTGACGCACTGCTGCATGAAAAGGTTTCGAAAGGAGAGCTTGGGCCCCAAAGACTTGGTAGTGTTGACCAAAGTCATTTCGGTTGTAGCTAGACGGTGGTTGATATTCTGCGTCAGGGCTTCCATCTTCACTGGGTTTTCCCGCCTTCCCTGCTTCCAACAGGTAAGCTCCTTTGAGGGCGTGGGTTATCTCATCACTTGTGGCAAGTTTAGCCCATGACTGCCCAACAGCTTTTTCGAGCTTGCCTTTGGTGATGATCTCCTCGAGCTTCTTGAGTCAACTAGAGCCAATCCCGTCGGTAGCTGGGCAAGCCAGGGTAGACATCGCTCAACTGTGTATCCTGTCGATGCTTGCACTGACTTGGAGAACACCAGCGCTTGCCCTGCCACAAAAGCCGATTCTCGAATGAGAACATTGCTCGTGATTCCTAGTCCTCCTTCACGCATGGATGGGTAGGTGCACCTGTGCCCGAGCTGTCCCTTTGAAGAAATCTACCTCCTCGCTCTTTGTCGGTCTGCGCGTACTTCTTTGTCCGTTGGTATTATCATGTTGTCGGCCATCTTGCCGAGGACGATCTTACTCATTGCCCACATCGTCACATTGTCATGTTTTCTAGCGGCAGAATTGGTGATAGACGGTGCAATCGTCCTCAGCAGATGAAACAAACGTGGCACACCAGATAACGTAGTAGTTGATAGCTAGCGTGAGCGTCGTCAATCGTTACCAGGCGGAGTATCAATTCCGCCGGATCACCACGGGCGATTTGGGAAATGAAATTCCTCTGGAACTCTTCTGCCCCTACTGGGATCCCGACTACTGGCATGCCACCTTCGGCAACTGACAGACCAATTTTCGTCAACTGTTGCTGTTCGTCGTTTGTCAAAGAGGACATGCAAAGACAATCCGGGAAAAACACTTTGGATTTCGGGAGACTGACCTCAATCCCTTTTTGGGAAAAACGTAACCGATGATCGATAATTCGGGTGACCCTGTTCTATGTGCTTGGAGTTTAGAGCGGGTGGCCCATGACGGGGCGTGGATGGGTAAAAACGTACAGACGTGTTGGAAAACGTGTTGTATACCTGTTGTATTAATCGGGGGCGTGCTTGAGCTCGTCATTCCATCACGGCATCAAGTCACGCATAACGCTCAAACACCCAAAACGAATCTCCATGAATGTCCACCAATCCACCACACTCCCAAGGAAAACATAAAGAAACTTCTTGTTCCTCCGTAGTTCGTCACTGCATTACCAGCATATGTATACGCAATATACCACCCGCATGCTATGCTACGGGTATATCGAATACCTGAATTCAATTCGTTCCAGTGGATATGGCCTGCATGTTCCTAGCCAAACCTGGTGGAAGACGTGCTTGGAGGTCGTCGACGTATCCGATGAGTTTGACTCCTGGCACAGGTGGCTTGTTGTTCAACTCTTTCATGATATCGAGGAGTCCTACACAGAAGCCGAACCCTCCCAGATTACAGCCTTGTTGAACTCCGCGCTGTGAAAGAACAACCTCGATCGAACCATCTTCCATATTAAACAGAAGTTTCGCCTTGGTTCGAGCATAGATGTTCCCGAAGTATTTCACCGAGTGTGGTGTATGAGTGGCCACTGCTGGTAAGATGGAAGATCTGCCCATGCTGTTGTTGTAAGCATTTTTTCCATCAAAGGAAAGAATGGTGCTGCCTTGCTGGTGTCTGAGGGCTACTGTGGAGGCCACTATCTCAACTCCTCCTGGAACACCACCCCCGAACTGATTTGCTGCTTCGAAGATGTTCGCAATTCCTCCCTTGTACTGGCGGCAGAAGCTGCCGCTGATGATGCGACGCAAAACCCCCCCAACTGCAATCGGCCGTTTTTTCTCTCCCAGCGCTGAAAGGTTGGCGCTGGTATGGAGGTTCCAAAAGAAATCCGGAAGCTCGTCTCCGTAGTATAATACTTTTTAGCGGAAGTCCGCCAAGGTTTCAGTAAAAGAATCACTCATTCCACCAGCTTGGANTCTGAGGGCTACTGTGGAGGCCACTATCTCAACTCCTCCTGGAACACCACCCCCGAACTGATTTGCTGCTTCGAAGATGTTCGCAATTCCTCCCTTGTACTGGCGGCAGAAGCTGCCGCTGATGATGCGACGCAAAACCCCCCCAACTGCAATCGGCCGTTTTTTCTCTCCCAGCGCTGAAAGGTTGGCGCTGGTATGGAGGTTCCAAAAGAAATCCGGAAGCTCGTCTCCGTAGTAGAAGACTTTAAAGCTGAAGTCCGCCAAGGTTTCAGTAAAAAAATCACTCATCCCACCAGCTTGGAGATACGAAAAACGAAGACCATCAGGCCCCGGAGCACTCTGAGGGTTGGCTTTCTTTACCGTCTGCTTGATGAACTTGATTTCGAATGGTTCATCAGCTTCGGCGACGGAGTCGATCTTGTGCGTTTTTATGCGATCTCCCGCAGCTTTGATGCTGGAATCCCACGCAGTAGCAATATCGTCAGGATCTTCGTTAGGGTGTAGGTTGCGAAGATGCTCCAGCGTGTCGTTGTTGCGCGGTGAAGGTGCTGGGGAAATTAAGGCACTGGCAGCTTTAGTGATGCCTCCGCTTTCGTGCGCAAGTCTTGTGGCTCTTCTTTGGCGATTTTGTCTTCAGTATCTGCATAATACTGAGGTCGACGATTCTTGTACATCATGAGCCAGGCGATAGGTTCACTCAGATCACCATTTGNGGAGATGATCCAGGGTGTCGTTGTTGCGCGGTGAGGGTGCTGGGGAGATTAAGGCACTGGCAGCTTTAGTGATGCCTCCGCTTTCGTGCGCAAGTCTTGTGGCTCTTCTTTGGCGATTGTCTTCNGCGCGGTGAGGGTGCTGGGGAGATTAAGGCACTGGCAGCTTTCGTGATGCCTCCTCTTTCTTGCGCAAGTCTTGTGGCTCTTCTTTGGCGATTTTGTCTTCAGTATCTGCATAATACTGAGGTCGACGATTCTTGTACATCATGAGCCAGGCGATAGGTTCACTCAGATCACCATTTGCAAAGCAGTTGAATGGGGATACTCTGTTCATCCTCCCATCAATCGATCCATGCAATGCCGGGGTAACATGAAGCAACTTTGTTGCTCGGACAAGTTGGAGTTGTATTTCAACACGTGCTGATGCTTCATATCTTTCCGCTGCAAGAGGAGACAGATCTGAGGTATCTGACTTCTGCTGATCCATGTGCACAGCTAGCTCCAAATGCTTGCGCGAAGCGGATGACGACATGTTGGAAGTATTTGCAAAATACTTTCGCCAGTTGCGGATCGACGTGTTTGACTGTCGAAAAAGTTGACGTTTCAAGAGTATCTTATCGAATCTGATCCAGGATCACTGCTGACGTCGTTGAGGTCCCACGGTAATAGGAATTGCCGCCTGTCATCATCATCCTCTTGCGTGAGTTGTTGTTGTTGTTGTTGACTTCACATTAAACCGTATACCAGTTGCTAAATGCCAAAATCTAGCAAAGACTCTCGGCCCGTGGTCACGAAAGTGC